TTTTTTTTGAGATAGGGTCTCACTGTCACCTAGGCCGGTAAGCAGTGGCATACTCACAGTAACCTTAAACTCCCAGGCTCAAGCGATTCTCCTGCCTCAACCTCCTGAGTAGCTAGAACCAAAGGCATGCGTACCACCACACCAGAAAATTTTTAAAGTTTTTAAAGACACACAGTCTCACTATGTTGTCCAGGCTGGTCTTGAACTCCTAGCCTTAAGCAATCCTCCCTCCTCAGACTCCCAAAGCACTCGGATTACCTCTGTGAGCCATCACAGCAACCGTCTTTTTTTTTTTTTTTGTATGTGTCAAAGTCCATCCAGCATGAGGCCTCTCCAGTTCTGAAGGCTGCAGTCATAGGCATTTGTCTCCCTGATGTGACCTGTGGCTGGTTTGATAGGGTAGGTAGGGTGACCAATTCCACCGCCACCCCCTCCACCTGGCCAAGCAGCTCTTCGGGAGCTTTCCCTCCCTCAGGAGGTGCCCCAGCAGACCCAGCAAGGCCTCCTCACGCCAACCAGGCTTGTTCCATAACAGGAAGACACCAAATGTCTTCCTGTTTTATTTATCCTTTTTCTTGCTCTTCAGAGGCTTGGAGCCCTACATCCAACCAAGCATTCCTGGCAACTCAACAAGCAAAGACAAAATGAAAGTCAGCCATATACAGCACCCAGATGACATCCGGGAGCTCCAGCAGGAGACCGCAGGTACTTCAGGCCCTGCCATTAGAGTCTGCGAATAAACCACCGGAATTCTACCTGCCTCACCTTCTCTCACCCCAGTGCAACCCCTACTCTGCGCTTAAATGTACGTCTCAAAGAAACCACCTGAACCACTACAATTCCCATTTTTAACCTGTCCTGGCTAAAGCTGGTGCTTGGCCTTGCACTCTTGGCTCAGTTTTCAATTCAGGGCAGAAGGCCAGAGAGGACTGAGCAACGACATCCCCAGGAAGTCAACATGACAACAGGATCCAGGCTTAGCAACACTGACTTCTATGCTGAGTCCTGGGATGCACAGAGTACTTCATCTGGTCTTTGCTCTTGTGTCCATAATCACTTTAAAAACATATGACACAGTGGAAACCAAAGTTAACCTATGAGCCGTGGGAAGCTTAGCGTGACCGAGTGTAAGGCACCACACGGAGCTGCAGGGTTGTGCGCGGGGACCCCCAGCACCTGGGAGGATGGTGCAGGGCTGCCCAGCAGGGATCCTGGTGAAGTCACAGGAGCACAAGCCCCATCTCTGCACACTAATTCAACAGTTCTGCAGGAGTGGCAGGTAGAAATGACGGTAGGGCTTTCTGACAGGGCTCTCGCTGGGATCCCACTGCAGGGCCCAATTCTGGAAGCTCCCTACAAGACTTCAGGGATTTCGTGCTCTAACAATGACACCCAATGTCTGTTTTTCTTTTTAAGGCCGCCTCGCCAAGTATTTCCCCGCTCCAATTCTCTTCTCATGAAAAACAGAATTAAAAACATATATATATATATAAAGCATATACATATTTCTCACTAGAGACATTATAAATAATAGCAGATGCCTATAAATGCTTGAGAAACACATTCCAAAGCAGGTTAAACACCGCATTTTTGCTTTGTATTCAGACAGAGGCTCTTTCCCACCCTCCTCACCCATCGCTCTCAGTGGTGTACACCACCACTGCCTGGTTGTGGGGCTCGATCCCCAGCTCCCACTGGGCAGACTCCAGGTTCCGCTCAAAGGTGTCAACACTGCCAATGTTAAACCACACGTACTTCTGCAGAGACCAAGAGCAAGTTTAGGGTACACCACTGGGTCCCACGCTGAACCCGCCCTCACACACGCACCTCCCCCAGCCCCTTCTCGTAGCTTTCATCTCCATAACATGCACGAGACCTATGCCGAGGCTAGTTCCAAAGGAAACTCTACTAACAGCAGAAGACCCTCTGGTTCTGGCCCCATGAAATTATAGTCTTTACATTCTAGATGAAAGTGTAAACTGTGCAACAGCTGCTGAGGTGTGCCTTTGTCTCCTTTTCTTTCTTTTGAGACAGAGTCCCACCCTATCACTCAGACTGGAGTGCAGTGGGATGATCTCAGCTCACTGTAACCTCCACCTCCTGGGTTCAAGCAATTCTCATGCCCCATCCTCCTGAGTAGCTGAAAGTACAGGCACAGGTCACCATGCCCAGCTAACTATTATATTTTTAGTAGAGATAGGTTTCACCATGTTGGCCAGGCTAGTCATGAACTCCTGGCCTCACATGATCCACCTGCCTCAACCTCCCAAAATGCTGGCATTACAGGTTTGAGCCACCATGCCCGGCTGTCCCTTTTTTCTTTGTCTCTTCTCTCCCCCTAGTCCTTGATGAGTTGTTCTTATATGTTGCATGGCAAATCTGAATCCTAGTTATAGTCTCATGAGGGCTCCTGTCCTACTTGGAAGACTTTGTTATTGATACATGCCAATAAGAAAAACATCACAATGAGAAGTTGATGGATACTAAGGGGATATTTTACTGCAAAAATAGGAAACTATATTTTTACATTAAATAAACTTATGTCTGGAAGACTCAGCCTTAAACCCACCCTCACCTCAGACGAGGTCCCAGGGACAGGAATAACACGCACAAATTGTTTGTTCACGACTTCCAGCCGGTCCACCTGGGAAGAAGAGAAAAATTATCAGCACAGCTGAAGCAGTGAGTATGACACTCAACAGCAAACCACGGGCCTCATCCTGAGACCAGTCCCACAGCGCAGACCTGGCTCCAGCGGGTCCAAGAGGCTGCATCCACTCTGCTGTGCAGATTCGAGTTTTGTTTTGATTAATTTGGACATTTCTAGCCTGGCCTGTGCAAAGTAACTTAAAAATCTATAAGAAAGGCCAGGCATAGTGGCTCAGACCTGTAGTCCCAGCACTTTGGGAGGCTGAGGAGGGTGGATCACTTGAGGCTAGGAGTTAGAGATCAGCCTGGCCAACGTGGTGAAACCCCATCTCTACTAAAAATACAAAAATTGGCCGGGCGCAGTGGTTCACGCCTGTAATCTCAGCACTTTGGGAGGCTGAGGCAGGTGGATCACGAGGTCAAGAGATCGAGACCATCCTGGCCAACATGGTGAAACCGTCTCTACTAAAAATACAAAAATTAGCTGGGCGTGGTGGCACGCGCCTATAGTCCCAGCTACTCGGGAGGCTGAGGCAGGAGAATTGCTTGAATGCGAAAGGCGGAGGTTGCGGTGAGCCGAGGTCTCGCCATTGCATTCCAGCCTGGCTCCCGGCGATGGGGCAAGACTCTGTCTCAAAAAAAATACAAAAATTAGCCAGACGTGGTCGCATGTGCCTGTAGTCCCAGCTACTCAGAAGGCGTAGGCAGGGAGAACTGCTTCAACCCGCGAGGCGGAGGTAGCAGTGAGCCAAGATTGTATACTGTACTCCAGCCTGGGCAACGGAGTGAGACTCCATCTCAAAAAAAAAAAAAAAAAACACACCTCTAAAAGGAGTATAAGCCTCAGACTGTCAATATAGCCAAGTCTTACAGAACTGACCCAGAAACATTTTGTCCATCTGCAGGTGCCACAAGAAAATGGTGCCAACAAGAACGAAAATGCAGCCCCAAAGGCCTCCATGCAGCCACCCAGCAGAGAACACAGCCCCTGAGAGCCGGGTGCAGCAAACACACAACTTGAGACGCAGCCATTTTGTGACGTATAATGACAACAGTGCTGCTCTTTGTGCTCTCCACAGAATCTGAAACCACAACAACACACTTTTCCTGGAAACTAATGATTACTCAGGGTCATACGATGAACATGAACATGCTCACGACAGGTGCCTCTTGGCCTTAACACCACGACCACGTCATGGTTAGCATGTCAAGACATCTGGAAAGGAACTCACAGGAGCTCTGGGATCTGTCCAGAACCCACGCACCAACAAGCATCTTGAGCCAATGTATCTGCTTCAGCCCTCCTGCTCATGGCAGCAGCTGTGGGTGGCACAGCAACAACAGAGAGGGGCTGCAGAAGCCCTCCCCTCCTCCTGTGAGGAGTCGTCAGGGACATCTCTGAAGACAGGCACGTGCCCTGAGGCCAGACAAAAAGGCCTTGCATGGTGGTTCATAACTGTAATCACAGCACTTCAGGAGGCCAAGTAGGAGCATTATCTGAGCCCAGGAGTTTGAGGCCAGCCTGGGCAACATAATTACGTTCTTTACAGTCCCAGCTACTCAGAAGGCTGAGGTGGGAGGCTGGCTTCAGACTGGAAGGTCGAGGCTGCAGTGAGGTGACTTCATGCCACTGCACTCCAGCCTGGGTAACAGAGCAAGACCCTATCTCAAAAAAAAAAAAAGGCCTTGGCCACAAACCTTGGTGGAAAAACAAGACTTTCCTATAGAAAGAAGTTCAGATCTTAACAGCGCCATCACTCAGCAAACATCTTTCTGGGGACGACTGAGAAACACGGCACTTGCCCCCGTGTCACTTTATGCTAACGCCTGAGCAGCATTTCAACAGACTTCAGCACCCTGACAGACCCATACCCAGTGACAGACAAGTGGAGGCTTGCTAGTGCCACACGCCCCTGTGCAAAGACACAAAGCCCCAGCTGCTGTCCAGAGTCAACCTGCAGGGGACAGGGGTGCACTGGGTAGAGAAAAGATCTGAATTAGACATGAGACTGACACTGACGATAAACGGACCATCAGAACTTACTCACAGAAGCCGAAGCCAAAAAAAATAAAAATAAAAGGCCAAGATGTTAAGGAAGTTTCCGCCTTGCAAGAAAATGAGCTTCATAACCTCTGGGAAAGGTAACACCATGTCTCATCTCTGACCTGAGGGTGGGACTGTCCAGGACATCCATCACACGATGCATTTTCAACGCAGGCCTGGGCTCACAGCTTCTTTAGGGCGTCGCAGACCACACACACAGGGGCACACCACTACAGCAGCCGCCTTCCCAGTAGACAAACTATAAATTCCTCTCACCAGACCTCTGGCCAGGTAACACTGTACAAAATGCTTCCAAGTGATTTCTCTTCCAGGATCTCGAAAACAGAGGTAGAAAAATCCCATGGCCACACCTGCCGCCAAAAAGGCCAGACCGCGGAAATCCTTGTCATCCCAGGGGAAGTCCCCCTGTGGAGAAAAGAAAACACATTTTCCAGTCAAATGAAGGGAGTTTCTTCATGAAAATGGCTATTTCCTTTTTCAGATGTTATTAGAAAAGACCCTCCCCTCCTCACCCTACACAATGCAGCCTCAGTCCCTCTCAAGAGGAAAGATGTTTACGTGGTATATAAAACACACCGAAAGGTGCAGCTCACCAGATGCCCCGAGAGAAGCAGAAAGTCCACAGGGAGTGCTGTGTTTGAGCCACTGCTGCTAGGGTTATCTCTTATCTGAGTCTTTTAAAATCCAGATAGAGGACAGACATGGTGGCTCACATCTGTAGTCCCAGCACTTAAGGAGGCCAAGGTGAGAGGACTGCTTGAGCCCAAGAGTTTAAGACCAGCCTGGGCAACATAGGGAGACCCCGGCTCTACAAAAAAAAAAAAAAAAATTAGCCAGGAGTGGTGGTGCAAGCCTGTGGTCTCAGCTGCTCCAGAGGCAGAGGCGAGAGATCATCTGAGCCTGGGAGGCCAAGTCTACAGTGAACAGTGATCACATCAATGCACTCCAGCCGGGATGACAGAATGAGATCCTATCTCAAAATCATAATAATAAAATCCAGATAGAAATCTCAGCACATTTTTAAAAATTCATTTTATTTATTTTTTTGAGACAGGGTCTTGCTGTCACCCAGGCTGTATTGTAGTTGCACCATCACGGCTCACTGCAGCCTCAGCCTCCCTGGCTAAAGTAATCCTCCCACCTTGGCCTCCTGAGTAGCTGGACCAGAGGTGCACACCACCGTGGCTAGCTAATTTTTTTATTTTTTATTTTTGTAGAGACGAGGTCTCACTACGTTGCCCAGGCTAGTCTCGAACTCCTAAGGTCAAGCAATCCTCCCACTTCGGCCTCCCAAAGTGCTGGGATTACTGGCATGAGCCACTGCACCCGGCCTCAGTATACTTTTAGAAGTTAATTTCTTTGAAACTTATGAACTAATTCAACAGCTCACCTTTAAACAAGCAGTAAGATTGATAATGGGCTTCAATTTATGTGTTCTCCCAAAATTTCCATGTTGGAACTCAGCCCCTAAGGTGAAGATATTACGAGGTGGAGCCCCTGGGAGGGGTCAGGTCCCAAGGGCTCTGCATCACAAGTGGAATTAGTGCCCTCACAATCCGTCACCCAGGCTGCAGTGCAGCAGCGTGATCGTGGCTCACTGCAGCAACTCCCAGGTTGAGGTTGATGCGATCCTTCTGCCTGAGCCTCCTGAATAGCTGGGACTACAGGCATGCACCACCATGGCCAGCTAATTTTTCTTTTTTTTTCTTTTTTTTTTTTTTTTTTTTTTGAGATGGAGTCTCACTTTGTTGCCAGGCTGGAGTGCAGTGGTACAACCTCGGCTCACTGCAACCTCCACCTCCCAGGTTCAAGCAATTCCCCTGCCTCAGTATCCCAAGTAGCTGGGACCACCGCTGTGCGCCACCACGCCTGGCTAATTTTGTATTTTTAGTAGAGATAGAGTTTCACCATATTGGCCAGGACGGTCTCAATCTCTTGACCTCGCGATTGGCCCGCCTCAGCCTCCCAAAGTGCCGGGATTACAGGTGTGAGCCACCGCGCCTGGTCTGACTTTTATATTTTTTGTAGAGACGGGGTTTCACCATGTTGTACAGGCTATGATCTTGGACCTCCGCCTTCCACAACTGAGTAGTAAATTTACCCTGTTTGTAAATTACCCAGTCTGATGTGTTCCATTACAGCAGCAGGAGCAGACAAGGATGCACACAAACCTTCTGCATCCGCCTCCACCAGGCAAAGCCACTGCGCGCGCCTCCTCTCCTGCCTCCATCTCCTCCAGGCCCAGCATTCTTTAGCTCACCAGTTTCTGAGAGAAAACAAAGTCTGACTTCAAAAAGCAATCACGTGTAATTTTCCGGAGAAAGAGGAGTCAGAAAACAAAAAAACACTTTCCACCACACAATTGTAATAACACCAGTGCCTTCTGAAAATAAACAGAGAACAGGAAAAGGATGAGGCTAGGGACATTCTGCTGAGAAGTAGCTTCAGATACATCTAAAATCCCTAAAATTTCACCTTGCTGGCTTCATATGGAGCTTTAATAGCTTTAATAGTTTTTGAGGTAACAGTCCCAAAATTGCCTGTAACTAGGGTAAAGAAAGAAATAAAGAAAATGATAAGGCAGGCTGGTATGGGTAGTTCCCCTTCTCAAGAGAACCAGGGAACACATGCCACCTGTTCTAAGCAGAGTCTGCCTCTCCTTTGGAAAATCTGGCCTCCTACACACACGTGTGGCCCACAGACCTACTGGCCTCTTCCTGTAACGTTCACACAAGTTTCAGGACAAATAAGCCATGACATTGTCCCCTTCAAATATAGTGCCACTCCAATGACCCCAAAATAACACTATGAAAGGCCAGAGAAGCCAAGGTGACCCCAGGAATAGCAAACATATTGCAAGATGGAGTAAAACTTTGCACAAATTTAAGGACAAACAGGAGTCTTCAAAGAAACATTCCTTTCACAGCAAGGCAAGTCACCACACCTCCCAATCTGCTTTTACCTGTTGCCCTCCCCATGCTGACAGGTACCCAAGCAGGAAACATTTCACATGGGAAACACAAAATACCAACTTCGCCAATCCCAAGACCCACAGGGTGATATAATTTTTAAATAGTTTGTCAAGGCTTAGAATCTAAACAAGTTAAAAGGTGCTAAGAGATGAAAACAAACAACAAGGTGGCTTGAGAAG